AACCAACTGAGCCACCCAGGCGCCCCATCCCAGCTACTCTTGGAACACATGTCACCTGTTCTTTAGGGTAGACAGAGACCAAATGTATCACAAGGCATATCTGTACCTTTATCTAAAGATACAGGGTATCAGTGTTCAGGGTACATGTTTTAATAAAATGTAAGTGCATTTGAAAGAACCTATGGGAAGAAAAGATAATTTTATTGAGAATTATATAGATATAGCTATTTAATTAATACTTTTACTTAGAACTTTGTTGGTTATTTATTTTAGTTGTATTTCAATGAGTTCTCAAAATAAATTTGATCTCTAAAAAAGAAGACATTATACTGAACTATTCTGTTATATAATATTATATAACATATTGATATACATAGAAGTCAGTTTTGGAAAAGAGGTGGTGGTATTCCTTGGTAATATATATATATTAATTTAGTTTCTAAGTTAATTCTTTGAAAAAGCAAATACATTATTTTCTGCCAGATTACAACCAAGAAGTACAGTTAAGAAAAGTAAAGGATATGTACGAGGCATACAATTTTTAGAATAACTTATTATCTGAAGAACAAAAATTTTAATTTTTATAAAATATAATTTTCTCCAAGGCAGTAAGTTTTTTTAGTTTTGTTTTTTCTCTTTAGGTTTCATCAGATTTCTCTTATTATTCATGTCAATTAAACAATACAACAACAGAAATCATGCTGAATAAATATACCAAAATAAAAGCAACATCAATGACGTATTAAAATGACATGTCAAGTAATATAAAATACAGGCATATCTCATTGTATTGTGCTTTACAGGTGCTGCATTATTGACAAATTGAACATTTGTGGCAACCCTAAGTCAAGAAAGTCTATCGGTGCCATTTTTCTAATAGCATTTGTTCATTTTGGTATCTCTGTGTCACATTTTAGTAATTCTCACAATATTTCAAACTTTTTCCATTATTATTATATTTGTCATGGTTATCTGTGATCAGTGATCTTTGATGTTACTAATAATTGTTTTGGGGCACCATGAATCACACTCATATAAGATGATGGCTTTATTGATAATTATGTGCATTTTGACAGTTCCACTCAGTAACCCTCTCTCTCCTTCTTTTCAGGCCTGCCTTTTACCTGAGACAAAACAATATTAAAATTAGGCCAATTAAAAACCCTGGGGCCTCGCTGGGATGAGCATCAGGTATTGTATGGAATTGTTAAATTACTATATTTATTGTACACCTGAAACTAATGTTAGACTCTATGTTAACAGGAACTTAAATAAAAAAACTTAACAAAGGAAAAACACTGCAATGGCCACTAAGTATTCAAGTGAAAGGAAGAGTTGCATGTTTCACTTTAAATCAAAAGCTAGAAATGACTAATTTTGGTGAGGAAGGCTTATCTTCTTGGGTAAACATTTAGCCAAGATGTGAATGCAAAGAAATTGTTCTTGAAGAAAATTAAAAGTGCTACTCCAGTAAACAGACAAAGGATAAGAAAGCAAAACAGCCTAATTGTTGATATGGAGAAAGTCTTAGTGGTCTGGATAAAAAAAAAAATTAGAGCAGCCACAATATCCCCTTTAGCCAAAGCCTAATCCAAAGGAAGGCCCTAACTTTCTTCAATTCTCTGGAGGCCAAAAGAGGTGAGGAAGCTGCGGAAGAAAAGTTGGCAGCTAGTAAGGTTGGGTCATGAGGTTTAAAAGCCATTTCCAAAACATAAAAGTGCAAGGTGAAGCAGCAAGTGCTTTTGCAGAAGCTGTAGCAAGTTATCCGGAAGACCTAATTATGATAACTCATGAAGGTGGCTACACTCAGCAACAGATTTCTCAATGTAGATGAAATAGCCTTCTGTTGGAAAAAGACACCATCTAGGATTTTCATATCTAGAGGGAAGTCAAAGCTTGGCTTCAAAGCTTCAAAGGACAGGCTGACGCTCTTGTTAGGGGCTAATGCAGCTGCTGACTTTAAGTTGAAGCCGATGTTCATTTATCAATTCCAAAAATCCTAGAGCCCTACAGAATTAGGTTAAATCTATTCTGCACATGCTCTATAAATGGAACAACAAGCTTGGAGATAGCATATATGTTTACAACATGACTTAGTGACTATTTTAAGTCCACCGTTGAGAACTACTGCTCACAAAAAAATTTTCAAAATATTACTGCTCATTGCCAATGCACTTGGTCATTCAAGTGCTCTGATGGAGATGTACAACCAGATTAGTGTTGTTTTCATGCCTGCTAACACAACATTCATTCTGCAGCCCATGAATAAATAAGTAATTTTGACTTCCAAGTCATATTATTTAAGAAATATATTTCATAAGGCTAGGTGTCATAGATAGTGATTCTTCTGATGGATCTTGACAAAATAAATTGAAAACCCAGAAAGGATTCACCATTCTAGATGCCATTAAGAACATTCATGATTCATGGAAAGAAGTCAAAATATCAACATGAACAGGAGCTTGGAAGAAGTTGATTTCAACCCTCATGGATGACTTTGAGGGGTTCATGACTTCACTGGAGGGAGTAACTGCAGATGTGGTAGAAACAGCAAAGGAACTAGAAAGAGAAGTGGAGCCTGAAGATGGTACTGAATTGCTGCAATCTCAATGATCAAACTTGAATGGATGAGGGGTTGCTTCTTATGGATGAGCAAAGAAAGTGGTTTCTTGAGATGGAATCTACTCCTGGTGAAGAGACTGTGAAGATTACTGCAATGACAACAAAGGATTTAGAATATTATATAAACTTAGTTGATAAAACAGTAGCAGGGTTTGTGAGGACTGACTTCAATTTTGAAAGAAGTTTTACTGTGAGTAAAATGCTATCAAATAGCACTACAGAGAAATCATTTGTAAAAGGAAGAGTCAATGGATGCAAAACACTTCACTGTTGTCTTATTTTAAGAAATTGCCACCACAGCCTTCAGTAATGACCCCAGCCTTCAGTAACCACAATCATGATCAGTCAGCAGCCATCAACTTTGAGGTAAGATCCTTCACTAGCAAAAAGATTACAACTCACAGTAAACTCAGATGATATTTAGCATATTTTAGCAATAAAGTATTTTTAATTAAGGTATGCACATTGTTCTTTTAGACATAATGTTAGTGCACACTTAACAGACTACAGTATAGTATAAAGTAACTTCTATATGCACTGGGAAACTGAAAAATTTATTTGACTCACTTTCTCAAAATATTTGCTTTATTGTGGTGGTCTATAATGGAACCTGCTGTATCTCTGAGGGATGCCTATATGTTATATAAAATATGTAACTTAAGAGTGTAAGTTATAGTGTTCAATGAGCCAATCCTACCCTAAATAAAATGTAGAACTGCATATTGATAAATGCAAATATCCAAAAATTTTTTGGCTTTTTCCCAATTTGTTTTAATTTTAGAGCTATAGCTTAAATTGAATTAATACACTATTAAACATTTTAATTTTTATGGAGAGTATTATGTTCCATATAATACAAATCCTTGTATATGTTAAATCAGAATTCTAACTGCATTAGAAGTGCTAATAATACTAGATGATCAACAGCAAATTCTTTCATGATATAAAGAATCAGAGGTGGAGACAAACCATGAGAGACTATGGACTCTGAGAAGCAAACTGAGGG